TCCTTCCAACATCTTCACCACGGTGCTCATCGCCAACCTCGCTTCTAGCTTATTTTGAATGCACCACAAAGCCACCATCAACATCCTCATCGCCTGCTTTCTTTCACTCTCACGAAACCCGCGTACCATCTCAAACAACTTGCCATTACATAACATATGCCACATGCATTGCGGTAGCCCGGCATTTGAGATTTTGTGAAACCACTGTCAACTGTACTAAAAACTTAAGTTGTATGATGAATGCGTGGTTTAATATAAAAATATTCTAACACTTTCCCTCACGCTTAGTTTGACCTTTTTTGTTGCCTAATACTAAGCATGGATATATTTCATTTGGGGAGGCAAATGTGGCATGGAAAGCTTTTAGAACAGTATACCATATGAGATTTCATGGAACCACTGCCAACTGTTCTAAAAGCTTAAGCTGTTAGATCAAGGCGTGGTTTAATAAGAAATATTTTAACATACTCACTCAGGTTCACGTCGTGATTTATCCTCCTCTCCACAATGTCGAACGGGACCATCCCAAAGCTGTACATGTCGCACTTGTAGGTCATGGGATACAGCTTCGCCATCTCGGGCGCGACATACTCGTGGGTGCCGCAGAACCCCGTCATGGGCATCTGACTGCTTTCCCTATTGTAGAGCTTGGTGAGCCCGAAGTCCGCAATATTTCGGGCTCATGTTCCAGTCCAGGAGGATGTTTTCGGGCTTTGTGTCGTAGTGGACGATCCTCTGCTCGCATTCCTCGTGCAAGTAGGCGATCCCCTTCATGGTACCCACGGCAATTTCGTGCGTATTGAGCCCATCGATCGCCATCTTGTCCCCAAACAGGAACCTGTGGAGGGACCCATTTTCCATGTCCTCATAGACAAACGCCCTAGTCGTCCAATCAAAGCAAAAGCCGTAGAGCCTAACGAGGTTCATGTGGTGAGTTTTTTCGATGGAGCTCACATATGCCATGAACTGCTCCTCCATCCTCTTGTCGTCGGTGTTCGTGAACACCTTGACCGCTACTAGAGTTCCATTCGGCAACTTGCCTTTGAAGACAACTTTATAAGAGCCGGAATTGAGCACGATGGCGTAATTTCCAGTGTAAGCAGCCAGCTGATCCGAAGAAAAGTCGTTGGGCTTTAGGAATCTCTCTAGGGTACTGAACTCATCAGGCGCCTCCGAATTGTTTCCTAGTAAGATAGCTGGTGCCACGACGGAGATTACCCTCGATGACGAAGAATTTTTTGGAAACTTTTCAAAGTCATTGGTAGCTATCCTGGCATAGCTCGGGATCGCGGTTCCCGCTTTCTTCAAGCAATCGATGAGGAAGTACATGACGACGACTGCTGTAGTCCCCACCACAACGGAAACTTAAAACAGGTTGCAAAGACAGTTAAGAACAAAAAAGTGGAAGAGAGCAAATTGTGGAATTTTTGTACATTTCGATGTATTTTAAGGAGAATACATTATAGCATTTATTAGATAACTATTCTAAGATAATATCTCAATTAAGATATGCACAGTCAAATGAAAATACATGTGCAATACACGCGCAATACACGTGCAATACACGTGTAACACACGTGCAACATACGTGCAATATATGTGCAATGTACGTGCAATCTTGAGAGATACAGATAATCATAAGAATTATCACATTATCTCTAACAATGGAAATTATTCTAGAGAAATCCTTAATTATCTGTAACAAGGACAGCGTCATTAAAAGTTTGATCATAACGTCAAGAATGGATGGGATATTTCAGGATGCTATTTTTGTCACGGTGGAAAGATTGCACATACTTTTGTACGTTTAAAAGTTTGTGTCGAATTTGTCACAGTTGTCTAAAGCTGTGCCTTTTTTTATGCGTTTGAAGGTTACGTTAAATTTGTCTCGGGGTGATATGTCGTGTTATATGTATATGATCCTTATTTTGACCTTTTGTTCTCACGAGTAATCTTACTCTTCAGGCGATTGCTTGGTGTCCACACATCCGTCTTGATACCAAAATGCAACATGATCTTCTCTTTGAACCGGTCCAAAGTCCAAGCTGTCGACCGAAGCACGCCAGTTTCAATTCGCCCTTCGGCGAAACTCCCTCGAAGATGAACTCCCATTAGCAAAACCGCGTTGAGCTTAAACAACGCATGACCCAAATGCCATGACTCGAGAAAAAGTCAAATACTGGACAACAACAGACGAGACTTCTCTGCGGATACTTGTACTTAACGGAACCAAAACTGGAGGCACAACGACTGTCTTAATTAGCAGGCTCTCAACGAGAGAAGTTCTTGATCCCAGAACAAGATTCGATCCGATTCGATTCCTGCTTAGAAGAGATGAGCTCCTTCCAATATGATTTCAACAAGGTCAATCAAAACCCGCCAAGTGAATTCGAGACTTTCAATGATTTAGTCAACTCGACGATGGATCGGTTCTTAGCTGCTGCAATTAGTAAGTCGGAATGTGAACCTGTTGTAATGAAGTTCGTAATTTGATATTATGATAGAAACTTTTAACGATGCTATCACTGCACCCTGTTTTCAGTTACCGGTGTGGTGGGGACTGTAGCAACCGTCGCCGTCGTGTACTTCCTCATCAGTTGCTTGAAGAAAGCGGGAACCGCGATCCCAAGCTATGCTAGGATAGTTACTAATGACTTGGAAAAATTTCCACAGGTTGTTCATTCTTCGCCATCCGGGGTAATATCCGTCGCCCCACCAGCTGTCTCACCAGGACACAATTGGGAAGTGCCCGATGAGTTTGGTACCCTGGAGAGATTCCTGAAGCCCACCAGGTTTTCTTCGGAGCAGCTGGCTGTTTACACCTGAGATTACGCCACCTTGCTCGGTTCCAGCGGTTACGGAGTTGTCTTCAAAGGTGAGTTGCCGAACGGAACTCTGGTGGCCGTCAAAGTGCTCACGAACGCCCGCGACAAGAGGATCGAGGAGCAGTTCATGGCAGAGGTGAGCTCCATTGGAAGAACCCACCACATAAACCTTGTCAGGCTCTACGGCTTTTGCTTTGATCCGACAACGAGGGCGCTCGTCTACGAGTACATGGAAAATGGGTCCCTTGACGGGTTCCTGTTCGGGGACAAGACGGCGATCGATTGGTGCAAGATGCACGAGATTGCGGTGGGGACCGCCAAGGGGATCGCCTACTTGCACGAGGAATGTGAGCAGAGGATCGTCCACTACGACATAAAGCCCGGGAACATCCTCCTGGACCGGAACTTGACCCCGAAGGTAGCGGACTTTGGGCTTGCCAAGCTCCACAATAGGGAAAGCAGTTGGATCCTCATGATGGGGTTCCGCGGAACCCCCGGGTACGTGGCGCCTGAGATGTGGCAGCCGTATCCTGTGACCTACAAGTGCGACGTGTACAGCTTTGGGATGCTTCTGTTCGAGATCGTGGGGAGGAGGAGAAATCACGACCCGAACCTGAGCGAGTCCACACAGTGAACACCTTGACCACTACCAGAGTTCCATTCGGCAACTTGCCTTTGAAGACAACTTTATAAGAGCCGGAACTGAGCACGATGGCGTAATTTCCAGTGTAAGCAGCCAGCTGATCCGAAGAAAACTCGTTGGGCTTCAGGAATCTCTCTAGGGTACTGAACTCATCAGGGGCCTCCAGATTGTTTCCTAGTAAGATAGCTGGTGCCACGACGGAGATTACCCTCGATGACGAAGAATTTTTTGGAAACTTTTCCAAGTCATTGGTAGCTATCCTGGCATAGCTCGGGATCGCGGTTCCCTCTTTCTTCAAGCAATCGAGATCGCGGTTCCCTCTTTCTTCAAGCAATCGATGAGGAAGTACATGACGATGACTGCTGTAGTCCCCACCACAACGGAAACTTAAAACAGGTTGCAAAGACAGTTAAGAACAAAAAAGTGGAAGAGAGCAAATTGTGGAATTTTTGTACATTTTGATGTATTTTTAGGAGAATACACCAGCCTATTTATAGCATTTATTAGATAAATATTCTAAGACAATATCTCAATTAAGATATGCACAATCAAATGAAAATACATGTGCAATACACGCGCAATACACGTGCAATACACGTGTAACACACGTGCAACATACGTGCAATATATGTGCAATGTACGTGCAATCTTGAGAGATACGGATAATCATAAGAATTATCACATTATCTCTAACAATGGAAATTATTCTAGAGAAATCCTTAATTATCTGTAACAAGGACAGCGTCATTAAAAGTTTGATCATAACGTCAAGAATGGAAGGGATATTTAAGGATGCTATTTTTGTCACAGTGGAAAGATTGCACATACTTTTGTACGTTTAAAAGTTTGTGTCGAATTTGTCACAGTTGTCTAAAGCTATGCCTTTTTTTATGCGTTTGAAGGTTACGTTAAATTTGTCTCGGGGTGATATGTCGTGTTTTATATATATGATCCTTATTTTGACCTTTTGTTCTCACGAGTAATCTTACTCTTCAGGCGATTGCTTGGTGTCCACACATCCGTCTTGATACCAAAATGCAACATGATCTTCTCTTTGAACCGGTCCAAAGTCCAAGCTGTCGACCGAAGCACGCCAGTTTCAATTCGCCCTTCGGCGAAACTCCCTCGAAGATGAACTCCCATTAGCAAAACCGCGTTGAGCTTAAACAACGCATGACCCAAATGCCATGACTCGAGAAAAAGTCAAATACTGGACAATAACAGACGAGACTTCTCTGCGGATACTTGTACTTACACGAACCAAAACTGGAGGCACAACGACTGTCTTAATTAGCATGCTCTCAACGAGAGAAGTTCTTGATCCCAGAACAAGATTCGATCCGATTCGATTCCTGCTTAGAAGAGATGAGCTCCTTCCAATATGATTTCAACAAGGTCAATCAAAACCCGCCAAGTGAATTCGAGACTTTCAATGATTCAGTCAACTCGACGATGGATCGGTTCTTAGCTGCTGCAATTAGTAAGTCGGAATGTGAACCTGTTGTAATGAAGTTCGTAATTTGATATTATGATAGAAACTTTTAACGATGCTATCACCGCACCGTTTTCGATCCGGTGTGGTGGGGACTGCAGCAACCGTCGCCGTCGTGTACTTCCTCATTAGTTGCTTGAAGAAAGCGGGAACCGCGATCCCAAGCTATGCCAGGATAGTTACTAATGACTTGGAAAAATTTCCGCAGGTTGTTCATTCTTCGCCATCCGGGGTAATATCCGTCGCCCCACCAGCTGTCTCACCAGGACACAATTGGGAAATGCCCGATGAGTTTGGTACCCTGGAGAGATTCTTGAAGCCCACCAGGTTTTCTTCGGAGCAGTTGGCTGTTTACACCAGAGATTACGCCACCTTGCTCGGTTCCAGCGGTTACGGAGTTGTCTTCAAAGGTGAGTTGCCGAACGGAACTCTGGTGGCCGTCAAAGTGCTCACGAACGCCCGCGACAAGAGGATCGAGGAGCAGTTCATGGCAGAGGTGAGCTCCATTGGAAGAACCCACCACATAAACCTTGTCAGGCTCTACGGCTTTTGCTTTGATCCGACAACGAGGGCGCTCGTCTACGAGTACATGGAAAATGGGTCCCTTGACGGGTTCCTGTTCGGGGACAAGACGGCGATCGATTGGTGCAAGATGCACGAGATTGCGGTGGGGACCGCCAAGGGGATCGCCTACTTGCACGAGGAATGTGAGCAGAGGATCGTCCACTACGACATAAAGCTCGGGAACATCCTCCTGGACCGGAACTTGACCCCGAAGGTAGCGGACTTTGGGCTTGCCAAGCTCCACAACAGGGAAAGCAGTTGGATCCTCATGACGGGGTTCCGCGGAACCCCCGGGTACGTGGCGCCTGAGATGTGGCAGCCGTATCCTGTGACCTACAAGTGCGACGTGTACAACTTTGGGATGCTCCTATTCGAGATCGCGGGGAGGAGGAGAAATCACGACCCGAACCTGAGCGAGTCCACACAGTGAACACCTTGACCGCTACCAGAGTTCCATTCGGCAACTTGCCTTTGAAGACAACTTTATAAGAGCCGGAACTGAGCACGATGGCGTAATTTCCAGTGTAAGCAGCCAGCTGATCCGAAGAAAACTCGTTGGGCTTCAGGAATCTCTCTAGGGTACTGAACTCATCAGGGGCCTCCAGATTGTTTCCTAGTAAGATAGCTGGTGCCACGACGGAGATTACCCTCGATGACGAAGAATTTTTTGGAAACTTTTCCAAGTCATTGGTAGCTATCCTGGCATAGCTCGGGATTGTGGTTCCCGCTTTCTTCAAGCAATCGATGAGGAAGTACATGACAACGGCTGATGTAGTCCCCACCACAACGGAAACTTAAAACAGGTTGCAAAGACAGTTAAGAACAAAAAAGTGGAAGAGAGCAAATTGTGGAATTTTTGTATATTTCGATGTATTTTAAGGAGAATACATCAACCTATTTATAGCATTTATTAGATAACTATTCTAAGATAATATCTCAATTAAGATATGCACAATCAAATGAAAATACATGTGCAATACATGTGCAATACACGTGTAACACACGTGCAACATACGTGCAATATATGTACAATGTACGTGCAATCTTGAGAGAAATGGATAATTATAAGAATTATCACATTATCTCTAACAATGGAAATTATTGTAGAGAAATCCTTAATTATCTATAACAAGGACAGGGTCATTAAAAGTTTGATCATAACGTCAAAGTTGTGAACTTCATATACAAGTTCATATGCTGACTTACTAATGAAGGCAGCAATGGCACATTCCTTTGTCAAGGTGACTGGATTTGTGATTTTTTCAAGCACACGGAACGGGTCTTCATTGAACTTATCGAAACCATTTGGGAAGTAGCTCACTAAACTAGTGAGATTTTCGAACACACTTTGCCAGACTTGACTGAGCTCGGCAGAATCATACGGGAAGGATCTCATATCTTCTGGGGGAATCGAATTTAAGCTTATTCTTGGATCAAGTACTTCTCTCGTGAGAGCTTGCTGATTGAGATAGTCGTTAGGCGTGCAGTTGTGGTTATGTTAAGTATAAGAAGTCGCAGAATAGTCCGTCTGTTATTTAGTATTTTACTTGCATATGCGTGGGTCTTCCGTTTTTTAAGCTCAATGCGGTTGTCAAGACTTTTCGCAATTGTTCAGTCAAGTCCCCATCAAGTCGCCGCCGGCATGAAAAATGAATCTTTGATTTTGCAGGAAGTTATATATATTTTTATTATGCTTACTGAATAAACACATAAATCTTATAATCAAGAGACTTGACAAAATTCGAGTTTTCAAGTAAAATATTAGAAAGGTCGAGTCCGATTTTTTTTTTTTTCGAAATCGACTTCTCAAGCTTGAATCGTCTAATTTATTTAGTAATCAAGTTTGCAACTCGATGATTGACAAAATCCGTGCAAAAAATTATTGCCAAGATTTTAGTTCATTTCATGAAAGAATGGAGTAGGATTTTCAGCCAGACAAATATCATCGACAAGAGAAGATCTTGATTCAATAATTTTTAAAAAGTTTAAAACTCAATCGACCAATTATTAATATTTAGACTCTATTCACAAAGAAAAGACGTTAGAGCTTCACCGGAGCTAACTATTCTTTTCATCATATCTTGTATTTCTTTCTAGTTTCAGCACATGGATGGGCTCACCATCTACACACAGAGGAGTTGGGTATCTCTTATTTGGGTTTATAAACTCGAGTTCAACGGTTCGAATAAAACACTATCTCAACTATGACTTGGCAAAACTAGGCTTAAACGCTAACAAAATTACTCAAAGGCGCCAACAAATCGCTCGTCCAAAGCAATTATCCAAAATCGTCCGCAACACAGAGCTTGAGGGTGAAACTTGGTCACGCCATAATTCTTTCCGTCAAACTCCGTTTCGAGCAAATTTATAGTCAAATGGAAGGTCCTTCAAAGCACTAGAAGACCCCAAAGCTTGGCCAACCCAAAATCGAGCCCGAAACTGTCGAAAATTGACATGGAAAGCTGCTGGTCGTACTGTTTACCCGCGCGCGCGCAACTTCGAAATTTCGTTTCTGACAAACGACAAGCTCAAATTGAGATCTGTAAAATCCTATGGCTCCACAACATTCTAAACTACCATTTCTATATATATTCGTAGCTCAACATCTCAAAAATCGAACTTCGCGGTTTGAATTTCATAAAACTCCGAAATTGTGCCCTAATTCCCAAAAATACTATGATTAAATGAACGAGGCACACGAGCACTTACCAAGGTTGCAAATCGAAGTTGAATCAGCTTGGCGAGACCCTCTGGCATGTGCTTCCTTCTCTTTTCTTTTGTCTTTCTCCTTTCCTTTTTTTGTTCTTTTTTCCCTTTCCTTTTCTTTCTCTCCCACTGCTCTCTGCGTGTGCCATCTCCCTTTTGAGGGCTGAATGCCCACTTTTTTCTTTTCTTTATTTATAAAAGGTGGGTCCCACCGCCTCTTTGACTTGGTCAATTAAAAGGCCAAATATTACATAATCATCGAAAGTGATTGGTACCATTTGAAATCTCATGGTCTTACTAGTTTAGATTCAGTTTAACGTAGACGTCGGTCCATTAAATAAAACCTTGGAGCGCATGGCTAGGCCGACACACGACACTTCAAGAGGTGGAGTTAACCTTCTTTTCTTAAAATCCTTATGGTCAAAGTGATACGGGAAAAAACCTACTAATAGAAACTGTATAATTTCGGAGTTCATGGTTTAGACTTCAAATAAAGCCCCTGCTTGATTGGGTCAATGGAACACAAGGTTGCGTAATATATGATCATAAATAATGAGAGAATCATTCATTATATTGGACGGCTAAGATCTATTTAGATGTAATTTCAAGACGTTAATAATTTCTCGACAAATAGTTTCTCGAAGGATTGGAGAAACCATCGGTATTAGTACATAGTGCGAAAGGGACATGTTTTGTCTATATGCTATGCTACAAGTTGCGTATGCAAAGATAATTACTAAAAAAATTTTAAATCTATTGTACGGATTCAAATTCAATCATAGATCTTTTGATAATTTGTCAATGTAATCGTTGTGGAAATCATCGACATTAGGTGCCGGCAGTCTATGTGACATGATTGACGTTGACGTAAATAATTTTTTTAAAAATGCAAAAATTGTCCCTTTCAGCGGTTGCCGTGCCACATAGGATGGCCGTGTCCACTTCAGCGATTTTGATAACTCTATACAAATAGAGTTATTTTACTTTTTTTATTATTCTTTTTTCATTGTTCTAGGAGTTTTCCAAGTATTTTGAAGAGAATACAAAAAGTGGTGAATGTTGGGTTTAATGTAGATTTTCGTTTCTTCTTCTATTATGTTCTAATTTTCTTTCGTTAGGGTTATGATGTAGCATAATTATGATTATATGAATTTCATGCTTTTTATGTTCTGCAAGTGATTTCATTCATGTGAGTTAGATATTATTGTACTTAATGCCTTTAAGTGACTGGCCACCATTTGAATGATCTAATGTGCATGTCTGAGACTGAGAAGCGATAATATGTAATTGCTCCTTATAATATATAACCATTATTTGTGGATAGAGGTATACCATGTTTGTCACGCCCCGAACCCCGCGAGCGCGCAACATCCTACAATGGTCATTATGATGCGACGTCCCAGGACGCGTCGCCGACCCAACATTTTATCTTTTGGTTACGCATGCGGAAGCTAAACAAAGATACACCCAGACAATAACAGTAAACAAGGATAGATAGGAAAACGGTTTACAACATCGAAATCAAAACATCATTTTAACATTTACTTGATTAACCCCTGGGAACATTTTTACAAGCCCACTTCAGGTATTTCCAAACATAGTCTACAAAAAGATGTCGGGCTGGGGGTCAATCTACTTCACCAAAAGTCTGCTTCCACGCACCCCGAACCATACTGGGTGCATCAACATGCTAAGGGCCTGAAAAAAATGTTTAACAACCACGAATGAGATAAAAATCTCAATAAGTTAACGCCTAAGCCCCGTTTAGAAGGCCAACTCACCTCGGGGGTCCCTAACCAGGCAATACGGCATCAACAGCACATCATTAAACAATCGCAGGCATCCTTACCTCGCCTTGGGACACTCGTTGATGAAATGCATATGTCGCAAACTCGAAGCATCTAAATCAATTACTCATGCATCAATGCATCACAAGCGTGCGTGTCTCGATTATAAGACAGAATCCACTTGGGCACGTCCCATACCATGCCTAGCAGTTTCTACCCTATAATCAAGCACTATGCATCACACGTATTCCAGTTATTACGCCCCCTCGGGCCACTACACATCAAGCGATACGCAGCAAGATGGTAGTCTTCCGGTAAAAACCGGGCTCCGTCCCGCCCCATCGGGCACGGCTACGTCAAACGATACACAGGATGACGGCATTCCAATACGGCAACATCAAACGATACACAGTAAGATGGTATCCCGTAAGGAGCATCGAGTCCAGCCTCGGGCCGCGACAAGGCATCCGGGGTATCGGCACTCCAGATAATCCCCAGGCATCCGATAAATCGGGCATCGTCAAGCGATACACAGCAAGACGGCTCCAACGTGTGACCACACGAGCACACAAGCATTCCGGCCAATTATTATCTTCTCAATTAGCCCATGCGTCCGTGAATAGAGCTCACATTAATGCCATACAATAATATCACATGGTCACACATGCAACAGTCAATCGATTTTGTGAACCTCATTTTAAACATGAATTCAACATCGGATCACAGCCAAATAAACATTATTGAAAAGCTAGGTAATTGCGGTTATTGCCTCTTTTAGGCCGGAAATCGAAAGCCAAAGATTTCAAGTAAAAACAAGCAGTTTATGGAATTCTAGTAAAACTGGACAGAGTTGCATGATTTGGGAAATCAACTTCAAAAGCATAGCAAATGGTTTCCAAAAATTATAAAATTCGAATATGTTATAAACAAGACCTTC